CAATAAAGGATTGTTTCTAGAATCGGGTCCTTTCTCGAGGAAAGGTTTCTCTCGAAAAAGTTGAGTGGGAGGATGGTGGAGACTTGATGAGGTTATTGAACCGTCACTTCAACTAGTGTGTAGCAGGGCACAGGAAGTTGTTCCTATGGCACCTACACTAGTTGAAGTAGAAGCTTATGATAGTGATCATGAAACTTCGGATCAAGTCACTACCGTACCTCATAGGGTGACAAGGATGCGTACTACTTCAAGTGGTACGGTGATCCTGTCTTGAAGGTCATGTTGCTAGACAACAATGAACCTACGAGCTATGGAGAAGCGATGGTGGGCCCAAATTCCGACAAATGGTTAGAAACCATGAAATCCGAGATAGGATCCATGTATCAGAACAAAGCATGGATTTTGGTGGACTTGCCCAATGATCAGCAAGCCATTGAGATAAATGGATCTTTAAGAAGAAGATGGACGTGGACGGTAATGTCACCGTCTATGAAGCTCGACTTGTGGCAAAGAGTTTTTCACAAGTTCAAGGAGTTGACTACGATGAAGTTTTCTCATCCGTAGCGATGCTTAAGTCCATCGGATTCATGTTAGCATTAGCTGCATTTATGAAATCTTGCAGATAGGATGTCAAAACATTGTTTCCTCGACGATTTTCTTGAGGAAAGGTTGTATGTGATACAACCGGAAGGTTTTGTCAATCCTGAAAGATGCTGATAAGTATGCAAAGCTCTAGCAATCCTTCTGAAGACTGGAGTAAGCATCTCGGAGTTGGAATGTATGCTTTGATGAGATGATCAAAGATTTTGGGTGTATACAAAGTTTATGAGAAACTGGTATTTCCAAAGAAGTGAGTGGGAGCACTATAGAATTTCTGATGAGTATATGTTGTTAACATATTATGGATCAGAAATGACGTAGAATTTCTGGAAAGCATATAGGGTTATTTGGAAAGTGTTTTTCAATGGAAAGCCTGGATTGAGCTACTTGAACATTGAGCATCAAGATCTATAAGGATAGATCAAAACGCTTAATAGTACTTTCAAATGAGCACATACCTTGACATGATCTTGAAGGTGTTCAAGATGGATCAGTCAAAGAAGGAGTTCTTGCCTGAGTTATAAGGTATGAAGTTAAGACTTAAAGCTCGACCACGGCAGAATAGAGAGAAAGGACAAAGGTCATCCCCTCTGCTTAAGACATAGGCTCTACAGTATGCTATGATGTGTACCGCACTTGAAGTGTGCCTTGCCATGAGTCAGTCAAGGGGTACCAGAGTGATCCAAGAATGGATCACGGGACATCGGTCAAAGTTATCCTTAGTAACTAGTAGACTAAGGAATTTTCTCGATTATGGAGGTGGTAAAAGAGTTCGTCGTAAAGAGTTACGTCGATGCAAGCTTAACACCTATCCGGATAGCTCTGAGTAGAGATACCGGATATATATAATGGAGCAACATTTTAGAATAGCTCCAAGTAGAACAGTTATTTGGAATAGCTCCAAATAGAGCGTGGTAGCTGCATCTAGGAGATGACATAGAGATTTATAAAGCACACACGGATCTGAAAGGTTCAGACCCGTTGACTAAAACCTCTCTCACAAGCAACATGATCAAACCTAAAACTCATTGAGTGTTAATCACATAGTGATGTGAACTAGATTGCTGACTCTAGTAAACTCTTTGGGTGTTAGTCACATGGCGATGTGACCTTGAGTGTTAATCACATATCGATGTGAACTAGATTATTGACTCTAGTGCAAGTGGGAGACTGTTGGAAATATGCCCTAGAGGCAATAATAAATTGATTATTATTATATTTCCTTGTTCATGATAATCGTTTATTATCCATGCTATAATTGTATTGATAGGAAAGTCAGATACATGTGTGGATACATAGACAACACCATGTCCCTAGTAAGCCTCTAGTTGACTAGCTCGTTGATCAATAGATGGTTACGGTTTCCTGACCATGGACATTGGATGTCGTTGATAACGGGATCACATCATTAGGAGAATCATGTGATGGACAAGACCCAATCCTAAGCCTAGCACAAAGATCGTGTAGTTCGTATGCTAAAGCTTTTCTAATGTCAAATATTTTTTCCTTAGACCATGAGATTGTGCAACTCCCGGATACCGTAGGAATGCTTTGGGTGTATCAAACGTCACAACGTAACTGGGTGACTATAAAGGTGCTTTACATGTATCTCCGAAAGTGTCTGTTGGGTTGGCACGAATCGAGACTGGGATTTGTCACTCCGTGTAAGCGGAGAGGTATCTCTGGGCCCACTCGGTAGGACATCATCGTATGCGCAATGTGACCAAGGAGTTGATCACGGGATGATGTGTTATGGAACGAGTAAAGAGACTTGCCGGTAACGAGATTGAACAAGGTATTGGATACCGACGATCGAATCTCAGGCAAGTAACATACCGATAGACAAAGGGAATTGAATACGGGATTGATTAAGTCCTTGACATCGTGGTTCATCCGATGAGATCATCGTGGAACATGTGGGAGCCATCATGGGTATCCAGATCCCGCTGTTGGTTATTGACCGGAGAACGTCTCGGTCATGTCTGCATGTCTCCCGAACCCGTAGGGTCTACACACTTAAGGTTCGGTGACGCTAGGGTTATGAAGATATGTGTATGCAGTAACCCGAATATTGTTCGGAGTCCCGGATGAGATCCCGGACGTCACGAGGAGTTCCGGAATGGTCCGGAAGTAAAGAATTATATATAGGAAGTGCTGTTTCGGCCATCGGGACAAGTTTCGGGGCTATCGGTATTGTACCGGGACCACCGGAAGGGTCCCGGGGGTCCACCGGGTGGGGCCACCTGCCCCGGGGGGCCACATGGGCTGTAGGGGGTGCGCCTTGGCCTATATGGGCCAAGGGCACCAGCCCCAAGAGGCCCATGCGCCAAGAGAGAAAAAAAAGGGGAGAGTCCTAAAGGGGGAAGGCACCTCCGAGGTGCCTTGAGGAGGATGGACTCCTCCCCACCCTTGGCCGCACCCTTCCTTGGAGGAAGGGGCAAGGCTGCGCCCTCCCCCTCTCCCTTGGCCCTATATATAGTGGGGAAAAGGAGGAGCAATCATACCAGAACACCTAAGCCTTTGGTGCTTCCCCCTCTCCCTGTTACGTCTCTCTCTCGTAGTATAGGCGAAGCCCTGCTACTGTGACGCCCTGCATCCACCACCACGCCGTCGTGCTGCTGAATCTTCATCAACCTCTCCCTCTCTCCTTGCTGGATCAAGGCATGGGAGACGTCATCGGGCTGTACGTGTGTTGAACGCGGAGGTGCCGTGCGTTCGGCACTTGATCATCGGTGATTTGAATCACGACGAGTACGACTTCATCAACCCCGTTCACTTCAACGCTTCCGCTTAGCGATCTACAAGGGTATGTAGATGTACTCTCCTTCCCCTCGTTGCTAGTCTCTCCATAGATAGATCTTGGTGACACGTAGGAAAATTTTGAATTTCTGCTACGTTCCCCAACAATCTGCACGTAGAGATAAATATATGTATATTTGTGCAGTTCCGACATTAATGTAAATATCAATATTCTATTGGTGCCCCAACATCAACTTTTGAATATGAATGTATTTGTTCAACATTTTAAGCCATATTTCCTGTTCATTCATCCAACATATGTGTTTCATCCGATTTGCTCATGAAAGGTAGGAAGTCCTGCATCAATGCGCGGAGTATAATCTAGTTTTTAAAAAGTGTTAGTATATTTAAAAAGAATGCACATGCATCTTGAACGTGTTTACCATTGTAATTTGAAAATGTGTTCACATGTTTTAGAAAACGTTCATATAAACTTTAAAGAAAAAACATTTCAAGACAATGTTCTTGTGTTTTAAAAATTTATGTAATTTAAAAAATCATACATTTTAAAAATGTTTCACACTTCTTAAAAAGAGTGTACTCTTCCGAAAAGTCTTCATGCATTTGAGAAAAGCTTCACTCATTATTTTAAAATGTTCACACTTTTTGGAAAACACATCTAAAAAAGTGTTCATGTATTCAAAAAATGTTTACGTGTTCGAAATTTTTTATGCACTTTTAAAATTTGTTCTTTACTTTTATAAAATGTTCATATTTTTAAATTATTTAATTTCTAACAAGGGAAAAGAAAGGGAAAATGAATAAGTAGATGAAAAATAAAAGGAGAACAAGGAAAAGTAAAAAAAGATAAACAGAAGGAAAAAACACACAAGGAACACAAAAAATGTGCAATGACATACCCACATTACCCCAGAGAAAAACAAACTATCCATGAAGAATCATGTAAAATCGTACGCATCATCAGTACTTAGGCCACGATGTATGCCTCGAACGACTTGGGCGCTCTCGTGGTATTAGCATAGTAAGCAACAAATAATATTTGCTCCCATACCACATCACCGCCACAAACCAATATGCATTTAAAAAAATGTAGATCATGTTGACGATCCCTCAAAAAAAAACATGAGTTAAGCCTTTACCTACGTTGATCCGACCATCCCGGTCTAACCGATCAACTTAAAATCACCTTACAGAGTAGGTAACAATAGCCAGGCGTGGCAGAGCGCGCCATCTCCTCTAGTCCCGTTGAACGCTCGCCTAAGTCCTTATAACATCAATGCCATTGTTGCTTTTAGTTTTTATTCCATTGTCTAAATGGAGCAACCCATCATTGAGCTCTTGAAAAAACCAAGTTCTGGACAAGTCAACATGCCTTTCTCCAATCTCTCGCCGTTTGACCATCACATATAAAGAGCAACATGACAATTGTGACACCATTATAAGCACCTTCAAATGTAGTGCAAGAGTGAATCCATCAAAAAAGATGTACGAGCGGGGACGAATCTGAGCCGTTGCATAAAGATCTGACGGTACTTCAAAAACTGACACTGAGGTGGAAAATAGTCGACCGATAAGTACACGCTCCAAAGGCCGAAGCAGCCCCCGAACGGCCAAACCCCAGATCGCATCGCAGTCCAGGAATGGCCGCCGCCGACGCCGACGCCGCGAAGCTCTCCGTCTCCATTCAGGCCTTCGCGGCGCTCCTCGACTGCTGTGCAGCCGCCGGCGTGGACTGCGACGGGATACTCCTCAGCCGTGCCACCCTCCCCCCTTCCTTCTCCGACGACGATCCGGCCCCAACCCTACCCATCTACGTCACCGGCCACTCCTCGCTCGCTCGACCCTCCGCCCTCTCCAACGCACTTAGCTGCTTCAAGCCCTGCTTCCCCGCACGCACGGGCACGGCCACCGTCGGCTTCTTCTCCTCCCGCCACAGCGCGTGCACGATGCGCCGCCCCTCCATGCGCGAGGCCGCCGTCGCCCGCTCCCTATCCAAATCTCTGGCCCTCGCCCACCCCGTCGTGTTTCTCCTCTTAGCCCCCTATGTCGCCACCGACCTCTCCATCTACTCGTTCGCCCACCGCGCCTTCCTCCTTGTTGATTCCCGCCTCGTCCCCACCTCCCTCACGATCGTCAACGTGGGTCCTCGTTACCGGGGCCAGTACCAGTGCCACACCTTCGCCCCGGAGTCGCCAATGCCGCGGCTGCCGCCTCAGCCGGCAAACATCGGAGAGCAAGCAACCGAGGAGGAGGAGATGTATTCCGGGATGCTAAGGAGGTTGGATAGGCTTGCTCAGGAGGCGGAGGAGGGCAATAAGCTTCTGTTCCGTCAGGTCCTAGTTCGCTCAATGCTTTGCTTGATGTGTTTCTGTAAAATTCATCTGTTTGGGTCCGTAGAAATATGCATCGCTTTGGTTGTGCATCGGTTATTAGACTCACATGAAACAACATTTGCATGGCAAGCAATATCGTGCACATATTTGAGTCAGAATCCAAGGAATTTTGGCATGTTAGTTGGCAAACTGGATATAACTTATTAGGTCTGATCGTCAAGACTTGACTCCCCCTTCAAATGCTAAGGTAGAGTTTTCATATGAAATAGGTACCAGATAAAAAGGTTAAACCGGTCTCTGTTGGACGTGCTGATTCGAACAGCAGGGGGCCCACTACTAATAACAACTTCTTTCTGCGTGATCTATTTTTGCCTGTTTAAATCAGATCTTATTCATTAGAGAAACCCCTTGATTTTCTTGTTAACCTATAAGTGCTCATAAATTGTGTGAACAATGTAGCATTTGTTTGTTAAAAAGAGATTGCATTGCTTGGATATGTAATATGCTTGCATTGCATATACATGGCCCGTGTGTGCAATTCTGCATGTACCGGACATAGAGTGTCAGTTCATCTTATTGCAGCATTTATAGATTTTGCTAGACCCTTCCCCAGACCCTGCGCAAGCGGGAGCTACATGCACTGGGGCTGCCCTTTTTTTATGTTTCCCTTAATCTGCGCATGCCATCTCTCTCTTCAACAAAATTTGAATTCTTGCTAGCATCTGTCAGAATCTCATGAGGTCTGAGCTGCAAAATGTGAAAATTAGATTGGGACCTCATAAGTGAGTTGGAGTAGCTAATATGTCATTCCACATACATCCTTTTGGAAAGCTCATTTCGAGAGCATTTCGATGTCTTTTGTCATAAATGTGACAATTTGAACTATCAAAAGTCAAAACAAAGTGGCAGTTTCCTTTTTCTGGATGATTGGTTGGTAACACTTTGAGTAGTTACATGTACAAGCTATGCTATTTGGTGAGTTTAAGTGTTGACCTATAGCTATAGGAAGTATTGTGCAATGTACAGTTGCAACTAAACTACTGAAGTGTTCATTAATCTTGTATTCCCTCCGTCCGGGTTTAGTAGGCCCCCTCTAATTTTTGGGTCAAAGTACCATAGATTTAACTAATAAAATGTAAACTATGTTCCATAAAAAATTATACCGTCAAAAACTCTTTCGAATACAAATCCAGCAGTATACTTTTTATTCATATTTTTTAGTCAATTGACCCAAAATACGAGGGGGGGGGGGCTAATAAATCCGGATGGAGGGAGTTCTTGAACCAATTGCCATTTTTTTATTGCTGACTGAAATGGTTACATCCTTCATATATTTCATGTAAGGGTTGATTTACAGATTAGGAGTCAATATTCTACTTTATATTGCGTGCATGTTGCTGGATAAGCTATGTGTGGTTGGACCATTGATAATGTTGATCTATGCTAGCGTATAGGTTTATTGGTTGATATGCGTGCACCTGTCTCTGTCTTGAACTTCAGTTTGTTTGAATGTGATATCGATAACCATTATCCATGTAGTTTTGCATTAAAGGGAGCATCATCCAGACATGAACTAGAATGAGACATTTACAGATTCAGGTTTTAACATGTCTTCAGATTTAACAGGATGCATTGTTGTATGCTATCCTTATCATTTTGTTGTTGCTATCTCTACCAGTTCATTCCTTCACCATCAGTTTTGCAAGGATTATCTCTAGATATGTTATTGAGATCAGCACCAACTTTTTTGTTTACCATGTCTGTGCTAATGTTGTTTTGTAGAAAAACAAGAACTTATTGGCATGGAGAAAAATTGCTGGGCTGAAGACTCGAAGTAAGGGCAGAGATCTTGTTCTCAGTAAGGTAAACCTGACTTACCTATTACTTTGTTTCATACGTGTAACTAACTTCTATCGTTGATCATTCTGGTATTTGGCTACTCATTTCTTTTGCACCCTCACTTGACACCTCCCTTTTACTTCACTATTGGTTGGTTGAACTTGAATGATTCTACAGCATCACCTCATCAATTCTTATCTTCTGTTCGCATCTTATTTGTTTGCTTGCATGTGTGTGTTGGGCTAACACACTTGAGTAATGATTTTTTTTCATGTACTCTCATTATTCTTGTTCTTAGGGAGTAGTATTTGATTATAAAATGGGTGTGTCTTAACTGTCCACTTATTTTTTGCTGTGTGGTGGTATAACCGTATAATGCATGTTAACTGTGATCCTCAATGAGACGGCCCTGAACCTGAATTTTAAGCTCTTTTTTTTAACACAGTAGAGACTCAGACGCTCATACATGCGCACATACACTCACCCCTACGAATTTTCAGGAATATTAATGTCTTCACATTCACTCCCTTTCTTAAAGCTGGTTTTGAACATTAGTGGTGACCCGTGATTGGGACTAGCGGTCTGATGGTATGTTTCCATTTCTTAAAGATGGTTTTGACTTCCTTTACATCTTGTTTTGCAGGGTGTAGAGTATCTGTAAGAAGGTCACAAAAATTGAAGCCGGGACCCTTGAACTATATCTTGAGTTGAAGTGCCTGCCTATTTCTTCCTGTTTTTGGCTGGATATTTTCTGGACTTTCAGTATCGCATGTTTGTTCTTTTGAACAGAAGATTCAGGTGTTTCTTATATTTTGAGATGGAGGTAGTAGTAACTGCGAAACCAGTTTTTTTTCCTTACATGCAAAATGCGAGACGTGGCATCATTTCGCCACTGCACCTTGGATAGCTGAATGCAGTAATGTTCCATGTTATGCAGATTCAAGTCCAGTTTGGGTTTATCCTTCTAGTATGCTTTTTTTTATGCAGTGGAGCTGTGACTTTTTTTATATGCTTAAAGTAGCATGATGCTCCTCTTTAATATCAGAAGATGTAAAATTCTCTGCTTGAGTCGCCTGTGCTCCGCCTACTGGATTGCAATCCCGCATGGCCCTGCCGCAGCCCCATGGCGCGGCGATCCGTCCCCCTCCTCTGCCGCCTCCCCTCCTGGGCCACGGCAGCGGCACGCGCCGCATGGTGACCTACATGCCCTGGCCGACGACACCCCACGCCCCGTCACACTCAACCCAAGTGATGGCATTGGCCCCCTGGTCACTGGCGCCGTGCAGCAGGTCATGGAGACGATGCACGCACCCGTCTACTTTGAGACCTAGAACGTCCACGACGACATGCCCGCCGTGCCGCCCACCGTCATCAACTCCATCTGCCGCAACAACGTCTACCTCAAGAGGGGCCTTGCCACCCCCGTCGGCAGAGGCGTCTCCGCCCTCAACATGCAGCTCCGCAAGGAGCTCGCCCTCTTCACCTCCCTCGTACAGTGATAAGATCAGAATCTTATTCTCAGTCGGACAGATCAATCCAACATTCAACTTCATAGGTCTGTTTCTTTTTTCAGTTAATTCCAATTTGGACAACCACAAGTTGACAATTTACATAATTCCGATTTGCACCATGCTTCATTTTTAGGATCTGCTCATGTGCACCTTCAGTCTGAATCAAAAGGTTGGAAAGAACTATAGTCGGTGCGTAAAACCCTGGTCCCGCTCTCTACTTATATAGAGCTATTGTAAGAGAGGGCATGCAAGCAACTGAACCAATGACCTCTAGGTCCAGCAGCATGAATAGGCTAATCAGGAACTTAAGATGGAAAAATATTGGTCATGGACTGGTTATTATTAACAAAAGCAAAAATAAGATGACACAATAGTGTTCATGGATCAGGATGGTTACTGGTGAACTTTAGTCTTAACTGTGCAAATCAATATATCAAAAGAAATAGAAGGAAATGAATTTGTTGACTAGGACAAAGTTACTTCACAACTTGCATTGCTGCAGCGAACAACAAATGGGAGAGTGATTCATCCAGTTTCCAAATACATATGAATGTGGTTGAGGTGAACATGCAGATCATTACAGGAAATAAATAGAAAGAAATGTGAAAATGTAGGTAATCCCAAGCATAGGTAACTTATTCTTAAATCCACGGATTTTCCACCACAGGAGTGACTCACAAGTGACCACGATCCACAACTAGTACATGAAAGCAAACGAATTGAAGTTACTACGGACTAAGTATAATCACAATAGCAGACCCTTTTTAAATAACACTGTTCAAAGCGCCACAAAGGCATGGACTAGAACATCAAACTTCCAGAAGAAAACCAAGCTGCGTACGTAGAAAATCTGACCCATATTCAACACCTGACTCATATGAAGGTACCAACCGGTGGGGTGCAAACTCGGTAGGCAATCACGGTGCTGCTTTTAGCAAACCATCTGACAACTATTCCGTGTAACTGGGGACATAAGGATCGCATCGGAGATTAAAATCCCTCTCAAAACTGAAGATGACACAAGATCTCTGGTTTTCCATATCGTATGACACAAGCTTTTCATTCCACGCAAAGACATGGAAAAAGATCGATTTGCATTCCATATCGTCTGCGACAAATGTACAAATCTCATTGTGGGCTATCGTCTTTGAATGGGTGAGATGTGTTGAATCTCCACAACATGCTCTTTTTATATTGGTATATATGAATTAACTTTTGGTGAGTAACTAGATTTGCAATATCAAATAGAAGGGGAAAATAGTTCAATTTTATTAGTTGCTTCGAAAAAAATAGAACACACTACGCAGATGTCATGAAAAATATTGTATCATAATATCTCTTTTTCTATTTGTCCATCGACCAGATCGGCCTTGCACGGAGCGCCCAACTCAAAAGTGAACAATGTAACCTGCAAATGATATTAAAAATCTCTTAATTAACTAATTTCCATACATGGAGATAGTAAGTAAGCAAAGATATGTGACAATATAAAGATTTTTTCTCAAACAAAACACATATAAAGTTATAAACACATCAAGTATACGTTAATAGCAACAGCAAAACAAACCTGCACAGTTATCTCCTTCATGCAAGGCTTTGCCGCACGAATGGGTGACGGCAGCCTACCTCTGTAGATTGATCTGAGCCAAATCTGCAGCGGTAAATGCATTGCAAATTGCCAAGAGGTTCACTGAACGCGTCACTACTTGGCAGCATGCGTGGCTTGGTTCGAATGGCCAGTGCGCACCTTTCCTAATATTGAACTTACAGTGTTCCATCACCTCATCTTTTTTGATGGCAGCTCGAGACTTACTTGCCCATGTATGGTTTGGAAAAAAAGAGACCGTCACAAAAACTACGAGGTAGAACATGGCAACCGCTCTAGCACTAGCCATATCAATCAACTTTGAAAGAAGCTGACCAATACTTATGCAGGCAGGTGACTAGGTATATGTATGTTTTTTATTGATGTGTGATTGTGCATCACTTAGGCTCTCTATATATAGGCAGTGTGCTATGCAAAACGTTCACTTATCTTCATGCTAAAATTATGCATGGGTGACATCTTGCTGGAAAATTTATTGGTTGCATTTGATTCATTTAGTACGTTCTAATTATAAGCTAGGATATGTACTAGTATCTCGATGCGTTGTCATTAATTTAGACACAGCTAATGCAAGTACATATTAAATGCTGGGACGATAGGTCCACTAGTAGAAAAAGGGGCAAATCTGAGACACATTAGTGCCGGTTTGATTTTGAGCCAGCACTAATGTGTCCATTACTGCCGGTTCCAACGGCTAGCCGGCCGCTCTCATTAGTACCGGTTCGTGGCGAACTTCTAGCACCGGTTCGTGCCACGAACCGGTGCTAAAGAGAGTGGTGGTAGGATGTTGTCAGTCTGGGCCCCCTGCAGCACCTTTAGTACGGGTTCGTGGCACGAACCGGTACTAAAGGTCGTCATACATAAACCCTTCGGCCACCCGAGCTCGCTCTGTTCTTCCCCTTTCCCCTCACTTCCTCTGATCTTCCCCTCTCTTCCTCTAGCTCATCACAAATTTTGCCCAAAATTTGTCAAGATTTGAAGGCCCCCATCCATTCAAATGATCACAAAGGTTAGCAACTTTGTCCTTTCATCTCTCATTGCTAGATTAGCTCTTGCAATGCTTTGTATAGTGATTAATTTGTGAGTTTAGTAATTTGGGAGGAATTATATGTGCTAGTATTTGATTTATATGCAATTTGAGGTAAAAAATAACACTTAATTTGCATATGTAGGTGTGGTTTACTTAGTGCCTTCTAAATCTCCGTCGTAACCACCGTCGATCGCCCGCACCGTCCCGTCGCCGGCACCAATTTGTGGTGAGGCTCTTGTTCATGAATGTTTTACATTACCAAATTGATGTTTGTGTGATTTGGATATATAGTTACTCGTATAATTATCTTACCCGTACGTTGTTTGTTATACACAGTGCCATGGTTTTGTATCCGTCCCCGTCGGCCCTCGTCCTTGTTATGATTCGGATGTGGTATATTCTCTTTTAAAACTAGTTGTTGCATTTCGTGTTTATGACAAATTATGCCCATCAAGTTGACATGGATATTTTTATCTAGGAGGTATGTGAACCAGAAATTCCAACCGACCCTATTGTCGAGAGGTTAAATTTAGTTGAAAGAGAAAACGAGTATTTGAAAGAAAAATTGAAAAGAATTGATGGGGAGAAGATGGAATTGGAGTTGCATGTTGCCGATGTCGTCGATGATCACAAGATCAAGATGGAGAAAATGAGGTTGAAGATTAGAAAGATTAGAAAATATGCCATTGATAGTGTGGCTTGGTATCATTATGCTGTTGGATCAATTGTTACCTTAGTTGCGATCTTGATCGCATTTGTTGTTCCATTTAAATTCTTTAGCTAGAGAGTTATTTGTATGTTGCATTTAATTAAGTGTTGTATATGAACTTTATGTATGAACTTGTATTAATTTGGTCTATTCGGTGTTGTGTAATGAAGATGAGCCGACAACGGATGTATGGTGACCGATGCTCTCCCGAGTTCATTAGTGGCGTGCATACTTTTCTGCTTGCCGCTGAGGCAAACAAGCGGGCGGATGGTTTTATGCCTTGTTCATGTGCTGGCTATAAGAATGATCACAATTACTCTACGTCAAGAACCATTCACGTCCATCTATTTGAGTCCGGTTTCATGCCCCACTATAATGTTTGGACCAAGCACGGAGAAAGAGGGGTTATGATGGAAGACATTGAAGAAGAAGAGGACGACGACATCTATCCTGGCCATGGGTTCCCTGAATACTATGATACAACAATGAGGGAAGAAGCTGAGCCGGTAATGCGGGAAGAAGCTAAAGAAGAGGCATCAGATGAGCCCGCGGATGATCTAGGTCGGGCCATTGCAGATGCAAAGAGAAACTGCGCAAGTGATTTGGAGAGGAAGAAGTTGCAGCGCATGTTAGAGGATCACAAGAAATTGTTGTACCCGAATTGCGAAGCTGACAAAAAAAGTTGGGCACCACATTGGAATTGCTGCAATGGAAGGCAGAGAATGGTGTATCTGACAGGGAATTTGGAAAGTTGATGGTAATGATAAAGAATATGCTTCCAAAGGACAACGAATTGTTCGAGGGT